AATTTGAGGCTATGTCTGGATGCGAGAAACCTTAATCAACACACTGTATCATTGTATCATAATATAAATCACCGTTAAATATTGAGGCTATTTTTGGAAGAATAGCAGGAACCCATATATTTTCAAAAATTGATTTGAATCATAGTTTTTGGCTGATCCCATTATGTATATATATATATATATATATATATATATATATATATATATATATATAATATATATATATAAATATATATATATATATATATATATATATATATATATATATAAAAGAAATACTGGATATTATTGACTGTCGATATAAACAAACAACACAGTTTATTACGGTTGCAGTCAGAATATTGCCCGGGATGTTAAAAAAAACACTCTTTTGACTTTTTGTCGACAAATAAACGACAAATTAAGCAACATTTATTATTATTTGCTGGAAAAACACCAAAAATAAAATAAATATTTACCTGTACATAAATTACACCTCTATGTATAATATGTTGCATTACATTAAGACAGGTTTAAAAAGTATAGTCACCTAAGAAGGGCCTCTAGTATTTCTTGAAAAGAAAGATAACATCAATTACACCTAATTACATATTAATTACAGTGTTTTTACTTTCCATTCTTTGTATGAGTTAATATACACCAGTAAAACATGCCATCAACCAAGTTTTACTATTTTTACAATAAATTTTAAAAATTTTATAATGTATTATGTCCATAATTGTACATTTTAATGTGTGGTATAAATGTTGAGTGTCCATGCTTACAAAAATAATCTCAACGACTAGTAAGTTACACTGAAGAATTGTGATATATTTTTTTAAATATTTACATAATTTATATATATATATATATATATATATATATATATATATATATATATTTGTATTGATTAATAACATATCTCTGATTAACCAATAGTTCAAACAAAAGTTCAATTTGGTTTTTCATTTCTTTTTAGTTTAATCGTCCTCATCTCATAAATTAAATTTTATCTCTTTAAAGAGCGCATTTGCATCCTTTTGAAGTTGAGAAGTGTTTGTAATCCCGCATTGATTTCGTTGATAATTGGTTTTGACCCTCTTTAAATTCCATGTAGACAAGCTCATCGCTTAAAAAAATTGTTTAAATTCCTTTACAGGCAGTCTTAGTATCTCGGACAGACCAGCATATTGATTGTAAGTTACCGGGTCACTTTGAGCCATAAAATATTTAGTAGAAGAGCTTCTAGCGGTGACAGTGACGCTTAAACGTACTAAATTTAGAGCTCCAGAGCCTTTAGCGGATTCCCGACATTTTCGGCTTATTAGTTTGAAACACTTAAACTAGATTATAACAATACCAGCGAATTGTTTTCAAAAGGTGTTTGTTGCGAACTTCCTAATTATTTAACAACTTTAAATCTCTTTAAAGGTCAGTTAGATCAGTTAATTTGTGCAATATATATTACATCACTTTAGGAAAAGGAATTAGTTCGTCAAGCTTAAACAGAGTTCTGGGTTTAGAACTAGTGACAGTATATTTCTGGGATCTGCCTTATCTTTATACGAATATATATATATATATATATATATATATATATATATATGTATATATATATATATATATATATATATATATATATAATATATATATATATTTGAATAATAATTAGATATACAAGAAATTAGCATAGTAATATTATGATGTTTAATTAATAAACTTATTTAAATAGTGGTTAAAGAAATAATTATAAATTAAAAAATTAATTATATGAGGGTATTTTTGAACATTTAGCACAGGATTAAATTTTAAAAGTTTTTTATTTTATTTTATTCTATAAATAAATATATTTAAGTGAGCCTTGTGCATAGGCAACCAAATATACACTGTGTTATTTGACATTTTACATATTTGACATATTTATTAGTTTGAGATTTTAACTCAACCCTTAAATGCCCGTGATATGAAAATAACCATAAATGCCCATGTGAGGTCTCCTAGGGACCCCACTAAAATTTTCAATTTAGTAACGTCATTTAGCACTTACTAAAAGGAAAACACGGTTAAAAATAATTTTAAGCATATTTGAATAATTTTTATTTATTTTTCATACAAAATTAACGGCTTTTCTAGAAACAAATTCTTTTCAATTCGAACAAAATTAAAATTAAATAATAATATAAGCATATAACTTTTAGTTGCAATTTTTACATACAATAGTTTTTCCTTCTTTTCTGTGCACCTGGCATATAAATTTTTTGCAAAAAGAGCAAACGGTATTCACTTTTCTGTCATAGTTTCGCGGACACTGGTAACAACGAGCACGTTTCTTAGCTGAATGGACGGATTGAGTTGCAACTTCGGTAGTTGGGTTTACCATTGGTATGCCACAATCTTTTAGAGCAGATTTTACATAGGCTTTATGTTTTATATATTTCGCTCTTTTTTCCATGTTGTTTCGAGCAAGCTCAGCCCCTAATTGTAACAGGAAAATACGTCTTCGTGAAAAATTATTTTTCTTCCAATCAGGATTTTTTTCAATGTATAAAATATAGGCATTTAGTGCACATATGTCTATAATATTCATAAAGAGCCTGAATGGCCAACGAGCAGTTCTTCTTTTACAGGAATATTCCCTAATTAGTTTGTCGGCATTATCAACACCACCCTTGGTATTATTATAGTCTAAAAGCATCAAGGGTTTGTTTTGAGAGTCTTGACAAATTATATCACTATCGTGTTGACTTGAAAGAAGATGTACCATCCTGTGTATTTTAGGTATGTACGAAACCATAGCTAATTCTTTAATAAAAGCAAATATTCACGACTCCGCAGGTCTTTTTGTCAAACTTAGTTGTGGTGGTGTATCAGGTTTATTTTTGCGGACGGTCCCAAGTAAAGTAAGGTTTTTAGATAAAAGATATTGAGCAAGAGGAACACTGGTAAAAAAGTTGTCAGTTGTAATTCCTCTCCAACTGCCATGATATGGTTCCACCAGATCTTTCACAACACGAAATCCCTAATTTTTCTCTATTCTACCACCTGGTAGTTTTCCAAGGTACACCTGAAGTTTTGATAAATAAGATGTTTTAACATCCGCGGCAGCCCAAATTTTTATCCCATAGCGGTAAGGTTTTGATTTTATATATTGTCTAAAAGGACACTTTCCTCTAAAACTCACTAACTGTTCGTCAACGGTTATATGTTCGTATGGTTCAAAGGCTTTGTCACAGTTAAAGACGAACATGTCCCAAATTACTCGTATCGCCGCTAACTTATCCTGTTCCTTCCGCTCCACCCTGGTCACTTTGTCATCAAACCTCAAGAAACTCGATAATTCTTCAAATCGGTTCCTAGCTAATGCGGCTGTAAAAAATGACCGGCGTATTGAGGTGTCTGTAGACCATATCTATCGTGTCGATTCTTTCCCACACCTTAAAGCACCAGCTTTGATAAGTGCTCCTAAAAAGCTATCCAGTTCATTGTTGGTAAGTACCGTCCACTCTTTTTTGTTATTCGGATGTTTTTCGTTCCACTCTTGATAACGCCTAACAGCTTCTTCATTAGTATGAAGGCATATGACATTCTTCATTCGGTCAAAAATAAATTGAAATAGTCTAAAAACGTGTTGGAATTTTTACTATAGTTTGTTAAGCCTGGATGTACATTTATAATATTTTTTTGTTGCCTCTTGGATCTCACGAAAGGTAGGCTATTCCACTGCATTCTAGATTTGGATGTATATGTTGGACCACTAACCTCACCAATATTATCGTCCACTTCGGTAGGTTCTGCATCTGATTCCTCGTCACTGTTGACTTCTAAATTGTCCTCAGTTTCCGAAACATTTTCCTCAAAAACATCTTGCTCTTCGCTATCTGATTCGTCGGTAATCTCATAGTCGAAATCGGAGTCTGATATCCCTTCTTCTATATTTCGGATAATTTTTTCATGTTCTTGGTCTCTTATTGTCATTTTCATTCTCTTACGGTCCATTTTTTAATGTAAACTGACGAAAAATGTTAAAAATAATAAAAATATTCTGGTGCCTCTAAATGCCCAATCGGGTCACAGCGAGACCCCACTTATCTAAATCTCTCTTACAGACCACTGCACCTCGCCAGACCACCCGATTGGGCATTTAAGGGTTAAATATAATTATGGATGTAAAATAGTAGTATATTAGTGCAAGTTATTTAGTTTATATATATATAATAGTGAATTCTGATATAAAAACCTAAATGTCCATAATATTCTCACTAGAATTTTCTGGAAATCGTCAATACACAAGACAGTTAATCCTGTTTGCATAGTAGATGATTCCAGAACTTTCATCATCATTATAGTGTATAATTAATTAATGCATAGTAGATGATTCCAGAACTTTCATTTCTCATTTTAGTGTATAATTAAGTGTTGCTCGGGACACATCTGAAAGTATTTTTGGATTTATTTTTCGAAATTAGTTCTCCCAATCCCACCCCCAAAAGGAGATCCACGACCTAGCTTTTCAACCAAAACATGAGTAGCCATTCGCAAACGTTTCAATTTATTTGCTTAGCCTGGTTCCAAGCCCAGTAATTGTTCAGCCCTCCTTTTAACGCCCTATAAGCAAATTATGAATTGTTACCCCACAAGTTTACCCCACAAAGGCATAGTTAATAACTCTTCTACTTCTTTAATACTAGTTTTTTTACCCAAAGGATTTATTTCCTCTTTAGCATGAATATTTTGTAGTTTATTACAACATTAATCATAAAAGTTGCTATCGATTTTGCTAGTCCGGTTTTATTTTCGATATTAAAGCTGGTGATGGAACATCGGTTTATGAGTTAAGAATGTAAAATCTCCAATGAAAAATTATTTTTCACATTGGAGATTGATTAAAAAAAATGAGAGCAACTGCAGAAATAAAAAAAATATTAATATAGGCTACACATATTAAATAGTTATTATCAAAAGTGTGTTTTATTTTTCTAAATAACAAAATTTCTTACTTAATAATAATTTTTTTATTACAGATTTAAAATGGATGACGAGGTTTCTTCTGAAATATATCAAGAAAATAATTATTTCACACGAAAGAAACCGACTTTTGATGACAAAAGTAAGTTAACTATGTTTATGTATGCTGTAATTATTGTACTATGACATATTTCAGTATCGCTGTTAAATATACTTATTTACTGATCATGGGGATCAGAAACCCAGATCCGATAGAAAAGGAGGAGCTTTTCTGGTCGACCACTTTCTAAACCCTCGATCAGAGATAATCAAATAAAAATAGGTACGTGAAACGTTACGAGTATGTATGAACCGGGAAGATGCACAACATTATCCAGGAACTGCAAATATTAAATATTAATATATCCAGAACAAATAATAAAAAACAAAAACAAACTCAAGCAACTGTTGAACCGCACATAATGTACTCGACTGTACTGTTTTAAATTCGGTTTAAGGTATCGATTTAAATAGTCTACTGTGCTGAATTGTACAATAGTAAATTCTCCCCATTTTTAAAATACTGTTGTGACAGATATAAACCTTAGATTTAAATATAAAGTTATTACATAAATCTAGAGTTGATAGTTTATAAAACAGTTGTAATTGAGATTTTGAAGTATATAATTACTATCACTGAGTTTAGTATTGTACGCAAGTTGGTTTTGAGTTAAGCGATGAAAACGAAGTGTAGCAATACTTAACTGATTAAACAGTGTAATTTATTTAGTCCAATATTTAATTAGTTAAAAAAAAAAAACAAAAAAAACTTACTTATTTTCTTATTCTCATAATCTTCTAAATCTATCATTAGCCATCAGACTCACAGCCATAATCACTGTCGTCGCTATCCTCTTTCGGATGGTAAATTATAACAGGATTAACTGCTTCTACAGGACCTTCACGGATCCACCATTCTTCAATTAAGTCTACACAATTTTTTACATTTTTTTCTCAAAGTTCAGGAGTGGCAATATTCAATGCTTCTTGCCATATTTCCAAGACTGCCTCGTTACTGTAACCCTTGTATCCAATATGGTTATCATAATATGTTTTGCATATATATATATATATATATATATATAATATATATATATAATATATATTTATATATATATATATATATATATAATATATATATAATATATATATATATATATATATATATATATATATATATAATATATATATATATATATATATATATATATATATATATAATATATATTTATATATATATATATAGAATATATATATAATATATATATATATATATATATATATATATATATATATATATATAAATATATATTATATTATTTAAGTCAATGTAATACTTTTTTAAGAACATTTAACACCACTGGACACAAATCAATGAGATACCATATTCTTACAAATATAAATTAATAATACCAGCAAGTATTAGATGTAGGGAGCCTGATCTATGCTAATGTAGGGACTGGCCGCAATTTAGTTTTGGAAAAAAGTCATCTTAATTCGATTAAGAATCATAAACACAAACTACCAACACTAGAAACTAAAATTAATAAAGACAATTTTGACAAAAAACTATATCAAAGTAGGCTAGATCAAATAATTTAACAACAAGACGTTACATGCGATGAAGATAACTAAGTTAGTTGGGAAAATAATTAAAACAACATAAAGCAAACAAGCCTCTAGGAGGAATAAAAATAAACACAAACTTAAATGAAAGAAAACGTAGGTACACTATAATGTTTACCCAAAGTATAGCAATATATCTGAAGGAAAAAAGAATGTTTATATAAAATATAGATCTGAAAGAACGCAGGGGACTGTGAATGAATGAATGAATGAGGAATGAATATAAGAGAGTTCGTAACACAGCACATGGGCTAATCAGGCCGAAGAAAACAATAAAACAGTAAAAGTTTATAACAGGGACATATAATAGAAATTAAGGAATTAATATAAGATATCAACATAAATAAAAAAATGGACAACATAATATTAGACAAATAAACCGAACAAAGGAAACTGAACATGCTCCTGAAACTCCCGATATAACATCAAATGAGTTAACGCAAATGATAAAAACATGAGATAAAAGAAGTCATCATAAAGTTAAAAAACAGAAAAGAAATTAATAAAATATGGCTTATACAACAGTTAACCATAATATTTAATAAAGGGTTAAGGTCATCAACAATACATGAAGAGTGGAGAACGAGTATTATGTTTTTTCTTTTACAATAGGTGTAATCTGCGACCATAATACTCTAAAGGAATTGTTAAGTACTATTTTGAAATTAATATTAAAAATAATATCAAATAATTTGAAGAAAAGATTAGTATACCAGACTAACAACAAGTTTCTTGTGCAGAGAAGTATATAATAATATAATGAACTAGCCTAACTATGTTTGGTTAATTTAGAAATGTCCTAAGACACAGTGCGACTATCGGATGCGATATACATCTGTACAACAGATAATCCAGATTACTTGATATCATAAAAATAATAGAGAACCGACATGTAAGAAACAGAACCGAAGTAAAAGTTCAAATAGAAAAAAAAAAGAATCTATAAACACTACAACTGGAATCAGATATGGAAGTGCAGTTGTAATATTTATTCTTTTATATTTAATATAGTATTGAGAGGTTTTAAGCTAGTAAAAATAAAAAAAAACAACCGGCAAGCAAGGAGATAAAGATAATATGCGATGTTTATGACGAGTTTTTGATAACAGAGAACGAAGATGATCTCCAATAAATACTACACCAGTTTAATATCAAAGCCAAACGATTTAATATGAAAATTTTATCACTTATTATGAAAAGTTTAGTATTGTCAAAGGAACCAACAAGGTGGAAGAAAGTTCAGATTGAAAACCTACTGATAAAACAAGTATTAAAATTTAAATATATGGGAATAAACTTATCTGTAATCCGACCAGTCATGACATATACAGTAGAAACAAGATCAGATACAAGCACAGATATTTGGAGACAAATGAGATGAGAATACTAAGAAAAATGACCGGAAAAAGACTATTAGACAAAACAAGAAACAATGATATGAGAAACCTATGCAGAATAAACAATATTAATCTATTTGTACAGACACAAGCATAGATATTTGAAGACAAATGAGATGAGAACACGAAGAAGAATAACCGGAAAAAGACTTATTAAACAGAACAAAAAGCAATGACATAAGAAACTATGCCGAATAAACAATATTATTTAATTGGTACAGGAAAGAAAAAGAAAATGAATCTGTTATATTAGCAGAATGGTAGAAAATATCATAGTTAGATTAGCCCTGGAAAGAAAGAGATAAAACGAAATTATCCACACGAATAGGAAGAAAAAGGGGCAATTTGCCTATAAAAAAAGAGAAAGAAGACATTATAGTTAATTGAAAAGTTACATTAATATTACATTTTTAAGGAGATGCAATTATCTTTTTGGATGTGTGGAGTGTAATAATGTGGAATATAAACTTAAGTTTAAGTTTTTAGGGTTGCCATTCTTGTCCCCCGGTCACCATCTTTTAACTTTTTTCTGGTCATTTTACAATAAAATTACATTCAATCAATATTATAGGGGGTCTTTCAAAGAATAATTTTTACTACAAATTTGTTTAATTTCATTGATTTCTTTGGATTTTACAGAACTCCAATGTTCTTGAATACTCGTAAGAATACGATAAAAACGATTAGGCTTAGTTTTCTAGTATAAGTAATTATATTTTTTTATTTATACAATTTATTATTTTGTTAACATTATTTTGTGATTATTCGTTTATTATCTACTTTTTCCCGACCATGTATGAAGTAAAGTTTGAAGGCGCGTTTTTAAGTGTTATTCCCATTAGGCTTAATCCACAAACAATTTCTAAGTGAGATAATATTGAGCATAACTATATATTTAAGAAGTTGTTTTCCAGCTACTGTTTGTTACTTTTCTTTGATAGTCGAGGCTGTGTTCCTAATTCAGTAGAGTTAGAATTGGCGTAATTGTGGGTAATTCATTTTCAAATTCTTAGAAACTTTTGATTAATTTTGATATTTCCATGATATTACTGCAGGTTTCACCAGAACAATTAAGGCACACTTTAGAGCATTTGAGGTCTGCGTTTTGGCAACCACACATACTTTCACAGTTTGCCTTGCATCTGCAGAAAATTAATTTTAGAAGTTCAAGGGAGCTGGAGTTTTGCAAGTTTTGATTGGTATCCAATTTTTTTTACGTTTTTTTAGCCCCAAACTTCAGGATCGCAGTGTTTTCTGCTGATAAATTCTAAGACTTTCGAAACGTGCTGTATCTTGTGTTGGCGGAATCAATGATAAGTTAAATACATTTTTGGTCACTTTGGTCATTTTGGTCTCGGCAAATCGTTTGTATCTCATGCTGTCAGAGAATCATCTTTCTTTCCATTATATAAAGAGACAAAAAAATATTCGCCAACGACAGTGAGCAAAGATAGCTGGGCCTTCTCACTGAGAAATATTGTTGTTCGGCTAGCGAATTAAGGGTGTTTCTGTAAAATTTTAATGAATTTTGCCGATCTTGTAAGCTGCTGATGTTGTGTGGCAACTTGAAATAGCATGGGAAAATAGCAAAACTCTGCAATGATCGCCATACATAAAACTTAAAGGACAGTATAATTGATGCGACTTACACCCTTTTGAAGGTTTAAAAAAATTGGACACTTTTGACACACAACATTACACCGCTTAATTCTTAATGCCGTAAGCAAGACAAGAATGGCAATGTCGTCTGTTACGACGGTCTTAGAAGCATATGATTCAAATTAAGCAAGCGCAAAACAGGTTCTGACTGTGTCTGCATTAGATTCTGCCTGGACGACACTAAAACCCACTTCTAATAGAGCAGTTTGTGAAGATCCATTAGGTTTTTTTGGTTCTCTTCATTACTAAGAAGTTGATGTTAGGATACTGTTGGCACGGTACTCTTATTAAACGTTATCTCTGTCGATTTGTGCTTTTTAGTACGACGCAAGCGCATGAGACGGAGAAAGTTTTTTGTTGGCAAAAAAGGTCGATAATAAAATAATAATAACATAGAACTGTTAAGAAAATGATAAATTGA